CTCAAACTTACCGCAAGCTACTGCAGTCTATCTATTATTTGTGAAGTGCAAAACCTTATGTGGCAGTTCGAGGAGCCATTTTAAAGGGGTACTTAATTGTATTTATTTAATGATGCCCTTAATATTTTCACTAATTAAATTTTGTTCTCTCGGTGGTTTAAGTGTCTTTTTCTATACAAGCCCGTAAAATCGGATAGGCTTTCATTATGATTATGATTATGATTGTATTGGGCTGTGTTCGAAATTGTAATTTTGTTTCAAAGCCCTTTTGTCAATGTCGGTAGTAATAAACCCTAGGTTCCACCGTATACTTCTTATAAATATTGATCCGCCCAACCGCAAGCAACCTTAATATCGAACCCTAGGTATGCATTCTCATCGTGTGGCAGTACTCATTGCTTTGTTTGTTGTTTTTCGTTCTTCTTATACATGAATTTGTTTACATGATTATCACGTTTATATTTGTTCTATACACGATATTGTTTTCTTACGTAATCGTTATTCTGGTATATATATTTTGTTGTTTGATCATGATTTTTGCTATTTCTCCTGGTTTTGCAGATTTTATCTTTGGTAATGAGGCATGATTTCATTTAGCAAAAAACCACGTATGATTTTTCTGGGTAAGGTTTTGAAGTTGATTCGATAGTATATGTTTTTACTCTTTGTTTGGTTTAATCGTGATTCTATGTATGTTTATTGGTTTGGTCGTGTTCGTCCTTTTCACAAGAGCATTGATGTAGCACCCATCTTTGTCTACTGGTGCTTCAAACAAACAAGATTCCAAAAGCAATTATTTGGATTTGGATCTGTCAAAGTGTATCGTTCTCTCTAATTTGTTAGTTATTTTCATGGTTCTAATATATATATTTTTGTATTGCAGATATTATATTAATTGATCGAGGTAAAGATTTAGTTATTATTTTTTTCATTGTTTATGTTCGTTGGTTAATTAATCGATGTGGAAAACTCCATGTTTTTTGTTCTCATCTTCAAGATCTAGCTAGCATCATATATTCCTGTTGTTAATTATTATTGTCATATTGTTGTGTAATTCGTGTCTTCTTATATTCCTAGGAAGATAGAGACGATCTATAGTCAAGGACGAAAGTATATTCTGCTTATGTGTGTCTTGAATGGGTCTTAGATTATGCTCTACTTTTTTGTGTAGATTCCTAATATCACACTTAATCTCATCACTAACATTCATAATCTATCGCCATATATTTCTGCTATTTTATTTGTTAATGATTTTCCATAAATCCCTAATATGATTCTTCCTCTTGTAGCTCCGGTTTGACGTTCAAAGTTTCGGTCGTCAAACACTATATAACGCCGTCGTCTTGGAAGTTGATTTTATCCTCTTCTTCTTCTTCACGGTAATCATTGTTTCACTCTCTGGTTTATATTTTAATACATTCATTGTTGATTCTCTGTTTTTTTTTGCTATATTTAAAAAAATAGAATCTTCAACCTCTACGTTGAGACCTAGCTTCCAAAGGGCAAAGGCAGAGTTTAGTGAGTCTTAAAAAAGGACCTAGCTTCACGGTTAGTGAGTCATCGTGAACCTACGATCTTCTTTTGTGATTTTTGGAGATTTGTATTGGTAAAGGCTACGCGATGTTTCTTGAACTGATTGTCTTTTTGCAGTGCCTTATGTGTCATATATGTTTATGTCTCTGTCCCATGCTTTACGTTTATTTTTTTAAGTAGTTTTAATGGTTTGTATCCTTTTTGTTACTTTTGTGTTTGTGGGATTAGCATACCAGCTTGTGTTGTCAATTGATCCATAGCCAACATAAACGACGATAGCTTTAAAATAGAAAGAATGTTTCATTAGCTTCTAATGTTCTGAAAAGTTTCAGAATGTGTGGTGCACACAATCAATTTTAACATAGCCACATAAAAGCTTTAAATTCTAGGAAGTCGATCAAAATTGAGTACGCTTCTGTCTTAATAATGTATTGACATTATCGAAATGCATTAGATTCTTGCAGGTAACGCCTAAAAAATTTAGCTCAACAACTTTGGAAAAATTACTCACATGTTCTCCTTATCTGGTATTGTTTGTATCGTCTATCTAATAGATTTCTATTTGATATTCCACGAGTTATTAACAAAAGTATATTGCTTTATCACCAATGATTTATTTGCTTCGTTTGCTGGATTTTGCGACTAATAGGACATGTATTTCTAATTGTTTAAGGCGAGGTTTGTCTAAGCAGGTGATGTTATTTACATGATCTTCAAAGCCAAAGATATTTTTCTTATAAGACAAAGAACGCATATATGTTTCGGTAATTTGACAATACGGCGAAATCAAAGGTAGTAAATTATATCGAGCTTTTATGCTTCTATTTAAGGTTTTCTGATTTGACTTTATGGTTTCCTTAATCTTTAACATCCTTAAAACATAAGTACTTGGCGTTGAACCATCAGAAATAAGTGTCATTCCCGTTAAAGAGAATTGATGAGGCTTACAAATTTGATACTTTCGTATTGGTTTTTTTTTTCACTTCGGCATTTTTCTTATGGTACACTACACGTTAGTAATCACCTTTTCGGCAATAAACATTTATATTTGCAAAATATAAATATAGATTAAGACTTTGCATCCATCTTCAATGAAGTATATCTTAAGGCAAGTGATTTCTATGGAGAAGATCTTTTCATGTGGCATTAGATCCTCAATCTTTGTCTTACTATCCGAAAAGAACAGTACAAGCTCTCACCAAAGTCGAAGCCTTGCTCTTGCAACATAGGATCTCAAGTTCGTCGCCTCACACCACAATTCATACGCCTCCATAGCAAACAACTCCAACATACTGTCAGAGTGGTCTCTCTCTCTGATCTCTATCTGCTTGCTCTGGTCCGATCCGATTATATTGTGAACGTAGTGTAAAGAAAGTATCTGTTTGCGCAATTGCTTATAAAATACCAAGGTATCTGTAATGAATTTTTTGCATGTGTATAGCACTTATGATGAATAAAATATTCACTACGGCCAAAGGGTTAGTGACGAATCTAATGACATTTTTGGAGACTTATAGTGTGCTAGAGCTTATTACAAGTAACGATAAATATTCATTTATGTTTTTTTTTTCTAAATATCATTCATTTCATTTATGTTTATCTTTGTCATTGGACTATATATTAGAAAAGAAATTTTGTTTAATACTATGTTTTAATTGTTAAAAGCCAACGTCGTATTGAGCTTAGTGCTCTATGAAATTTATAACGTAACCAAAGACGAGGAATTTGTGAAGAAAGCAATCCATGTGTTTCTTCTCAAAGAGTTGAGAGTTTTTGGAACTCAGGTTAGTCATTTAATTATTTAGTTACAATAAWGGCTGGTTTAATTACTTAGTTATTTTTATTTATGTTCTCTTCCTTTTAAAATTTCTACATYGAGAAGAATATTTGACATCRGCTCTCTATGTGTATTTCATGATCAAGAATCTGTTTCAGGGTTCCGAYTATGTTGGAGAAACATCAGTTCCATAGTGATATAGCATGTGGTTGAAGTCTTCACTTTTGAGTCTTTAAGTTCCTTGATAAATTAAGCATTTGGTAACTTATGACTTGGTTGCATTGTAACAGGGAATTATACGAATGGATACAACACAAGGATAAATAATGGTAAAGATCGGTTTGTATCAAAACTTTCGAAAGGTAGTTCGAGTTTTCTAAACATGATGACGATTTTTTTTTAAACCTAATTTAGGGATTTGAATTTTTTAGAATACGTAACAAAAACATATGAACTGCAAATAGGATGAAGAAGCATAGTATAGTGAAGAAGATGATGAAGAGTTTAGTACGAGATTCAGTGGTGGASAAAAGTCATGATTTGTGATCAATTTTTGGTTTYCTGATCTCGATGATTATTGGCTCTTCTAAATCCTATTAACTGTAAATTTCCGGGAAGAGTCCAGACATGTATATAGGACATGATATGTTAAACAATTT